GATTGGCATTCAGGACATGATCCCACTTTAACTTCTGAATATGAGTTCTGAAGGAAAGGGCCAAGAATAGCCCCACATTTGTTGCAATCATACTTTACCTGCTGTAACTGAGGAAAAACTCCAGATCGCCGAGTAACAACACCTCCTATACGAATCATTTTGTTCAAATGAATCTGCCTGGTGTGCACCAAATTGTATATGCATCATAGCATAGAACCTCTAGTGAATAAAAAACAATAGACTCGATTGCTATTCCACACTGAATTCAAAACCTACCTTATGTTACGTATCTGATCATATACTGGAAGATTAGTTATACGGACAAAAATTTTCTGATGGATGTTTTTGTAATTCTTGTGTAGATGAAAGACAACATTCTTGGCAACTTCTTCCATAACTTCAAGCACTGACTGTGGTGCATCAGACAACCATGTAACAATATTTGAGTGAATGTACATGAATTGCATGTAGTTTATCTCCAGACTGCACTTGTTCGCTGCAATAAAAATATGAGAATACATACTAGGAAATATTATTTTAGAGAGGCATGATAACCCAACAAACGACTGTACTGTGTTCCAATTAGTTCTGAAAAACTAGATAATTAACAATAGGCTAAGTAATTACCTAAAACCATCTCATTAATCAGTCGAACATATTCAATGTCTCCATGTTCATTCTTAGGGTTCACATAAGTAAGAAGAAAATCTTTAAATTTCTTTGCGATAAACCAACGAACTTCATCTCTTGCAACCCATTCCCTTAGAGTTCCTTGGACATGATATAGAGTCATCTCATCTTCACCATCATACTCATCCTATCACAGGCAATGCGTTCAGTCATTGCAGTACAAAGGTAACCTGTAGATAGCATGAGTGTCTTTAAACTATAGGTAAATTAACATAGAAGGACATCATAGTACCTCGTATTGGTCATCATCCGTTTGATCAGTGACTGGCACATCATCTCTTGAGTTTCCTTGTTGGAACATTCCTGGTGAGCTTTGTGTTGAACCCTCGGTGTCATCTTCACTTTGTCCACCAGTCGGTGGCCTAAAATCAGCCCTGAATCTTTTCGGAGGTCTAAAGTTGATATATTCATCCATGTCTGCAACAGAAACATGATGTTTTAAAACCTGAACTCATTTCCACCAATCCAGATGATGCATCTGGCTATGTAGGTGCAAGATAAAATAACATCATGGACATCATGTAGAAACCTTTTTATCTTACAGGAATTATCTGTTCAATGAAATGAGACCAAATTCAAATAATAATATGTCGTTTGGCAACCAAGGCATTGGCAGAATCCTACTGCGCCTGGTGGCAGTAAACAATGCACGCAGTCTCAGGAAGCAAAAGGTTGCATCTTGATACTTGCAAGCAAAGGTGAGTCACAAGACAATCAAAATATGTATGGAAATTTTAATTTAGACTAACCTACTTTTGCACAAAATTTAGGCTTATGCATTTCTGGTAGACCAGGAAATAATTGTATGATGTAGGCCGCACTTGAGATTTGCCAAATGTATGATGCAATTCAAGTGTTTGCAAGATTTAGTTTTGCACAATCATGCATCACTAAAGAGTTAGTTTGGAAGTACAAGACAAGAACAGAATCAGGAGGTACAATTTGCTCTGCTAGGAAGTACACTAGCAGATATCTAATGATGGAAATCCTTGGAACAGAGGAATTCTCATGTTTAGATGCATGGCCAAGGCTGATTTGCTGAAGACATTCAAATCCAAAGATTTTCAAGAAAGATATAACTCTTCTCAGATTCTTTAGTTGCTCTTCACTAGCATGTCATGCAAAATAAGCTCAACCACCTAATACAGTGGATTATAACAAGACATAACATAGTTACAATCACCAAAATCATGGATAATATAGCAATTTTGATCATATTTACCCCTCACTACGAAAACCCACTGTCAAAGTCCACCGAAAGTAATATTGGATGTTATGAAGCTTATGCTGTCCAGAATTAACATTTCCATTTGAAGTTAATGACCACCTATTGACATCATCAGTTCCATTTGCAAATTCTCTCGGAAAAGTAGCTCTAAACATACCCCTCAGAGGCTGATTCCCCTCACATAAGCATTCACTAGCTGACCACTCCCATGTCGGAAAACAACTTCAATTTAAAAGGGTATGATAAAGTGTATTGTATTAGTGAAAAGACAAATAATTCATCGGCGAATTTTTCTTGGCACGAGGGAGAAAGTTGTGAACGTATGTCCACCAAATGTGCATTGGTCCAAAGGATCGATACCTTGATCATAAAGCATCTGGGGCAATTTCCGGTCAAGGATGCCACCATTGCGGCCATCCCTCGCATCAAGTTCCACCTCTGCCGCCCTTCTGTCGGCCATGATTTGGTCCAGATCCCTCTCATCCTCCGTGGAGTCGTCCATCCCCACCGTCTCGTACCGGTCTTGATCATCCATCCGACGGTAATCTCTGTTCCCCACCAGCACTAACATCGTCAAGGAGAAAACGAACATCAAAAGTTACACAAAGATCATCTGCGATGCTCACTCCATGTAGTTGTCCTCGAACAGATCCTCGCCTTCCTCTTCCTCCTTGTTACGATCGCCGTCGCCACCGTCGTCGTCCACAAAGACACGAGGGTCGACGGCGGCCTCGTCATCGTCAGAGTAGGAATCGGTTATGCGGCTCGTGTTATGAGGCAGCCGATCCACATCGAACCCCGGCGAGGTCGGGGATCCGGAGGTCGATGGTGGGGTATCCGAATTATCCTTAGGGAAAGAAAAATGTGAAACGAAAACAAAAAGGAGAGGGTGACGATATCTAATCACCAGAAACCGGAATGGTTCGAAGGACTCACCATCGGATTTGAACGCGCCTTCTCCTTCTCCTTCTTCCGGAGCAACTAAGAGGGATCCCAACCAGAGTTTGCTGTGGGTAAAGAAAGAAGGAGAAAACGGGGAGATTTGGCGGGAAGGCGTAAAAATTCGATAAGAAAAATTAGATCCCATTTAATCAATAAACCGACAAACAATAAATAAATCAATAAAAATGACAAACAATAAAGATTAGAAATCACCGAGTTATACTAAGGAATAAATAATTCCACCCGTTGATTGAATACATTCCTAATAATTTCAACCTTCACGAAGGCTTGTGATTAAATGCATTCATCACGGACAAGATCAAGAATTCTTCTTTGTGTGGTTGAATACATTTCCTAAGAAGAAGATGGATTTAGTAGTATCACAAGCCCCTGAGGAGATTAAACACATTCATCACGAGCACAAAAATGAGCAGCAAAATAAAAAAACATTATATCAAAAAATAAAGAGAAGAATATTGTTTCTTATTAAAACAATAGTAGCACCCAGTGATAATTTTTCTTTTATATAGAAGAGAAAAATAATTACTAAACGGTTATATAATGATTATGTATAATCATAAACAATAAATACTAATTAAATTATTTAAAAAATAATAATTGATTCAATTAAAAAATAATAAACATAATTGATGAAATAAGTAAATTAATAGAAATAAAATTTAAGATTGAATATAATTATGATTCATATTTATGTATATATATTATGATTGAATGTGATGATAGGATTATGACGTTATTTTAGACTATATTAGGAAATACTAATAGTATTGTGATAGGAAGCATGATATTAATGAAGTATAATTATTATTACTCATATTATTAATTAGATTTAATAATTCGTGGATTTATATTTTTATATTTTTGGATAATTCGTAAGTACATTGTCGTGGCTGTACGATAACTAAATCTTCCATTTTACTTATATAAAATAATAACATACGATGAAATTTAGAATTTTGTCTTCCTCATTTTTAAAAAATAATTTTAATAATTATAAAGCTGATTTTAATCGAATCATATTAATTATAATTAGTCTTCTCGCAGCATCCGACGGTGATAAATATCGACACGTTGATTCTGAGACGCTAAAACGTTGCATTTTTGCGCCGCGGAAAGTGAACACGCAGCATCAGAAAGCGAGGAAGGCTCCAAGCGGCGGCGTCCATGGCGTTGGCTTCTCGACTCCTCTCCCGATCCAGATAGGTGAATTCACCCTTCGCCTCTTCTCGATATTGACTGATACCTGATTTCTGCTATTCGAAATGGTGTTCGGATGCGATGTGACGAACAGATCTTCCCTAACTCTCGGCGATATATTCGACTCTCCGATGAATTTAGTCGACGGCGTCGTTCCTGATTCGTTCTTTGACCAAATTTCTTTTTCTTTCTAGGTTTTAGGTTTCAGGTTTGATCCTCTAGCATCGTGGAACCCTGATCCTATGCCGTGGTTTACTTCTTCCGTTGTTGCCGCTTCGTTTTGGAACTTCTGTCGGTCGCAGTTAGGGAGCCGATGGATAGGTTTTGTGGTTTTCCTCTGTTGTTTCTGAATTCGATTTTCGGAGATTGTAGATCTGCATGTAGTAATAATGTTCTCTGTACTCGTCGAAATGAGGCAGATGTTGCGGAAATTGGTGATGGAATTATGATTTTGTATCATTTGAATTGCAGATTGACGTCTGGATCCATAGTGAATGATGCTGTCAGAGAAACTGATCATGTGCAATACAAAGTCTGAAATGTTAGTCTGGGATGAACTTGTAGTAATGTTCAAAATGGTTTTGATTTTTCTCTTCATGTTAAGAGTGATACGAATATGAATGTGGTGCTTATTTTGTATTATAATTATGGCATTTTTCCTGAAAAAAGATTATGGCATGGAGCATCTTTCTCCCGGATATGGCTCATGTCTTTCCATAGAAATTTTGCATATTATGTGTGAGCCTCACCAGCAAGTAAAACAAGACCTGTTAACTGTTATAATATGTACTTTATTTATGGTCAAGGACCGTGTTTATGCTGCTGCTTTTTGCTTTTTGCACCACGTGACTTATGAGTTGATAAATAGCTTGTCAAATTAATTGCCTAATATCTGGCAGTTTTTTTGGGTTCATCCATCCACATGGTGAGAATCCAACTTCTCCCATCCTACAAGTAATCCACTCTAGTCTAGTGTTAGTTTCTCGAATTTTTATGTAGCATAACAGTATATTAGGTTCCTGGGTCTTTGTCGATAGTAGTAAGTATGTGTGTGTTTGATCTTGATGTTATATGCGCGTCAGATCATTGGTCAGATAGTTGTGCAACATGATCATGCAATGCCAGTTCGATCCTACGCGAAAGAAGCTGCACCTTCTGGTTTACCACCCCTCAAAGGAGATGGTAGCATACTAATCTTGTCATATTTCTTGGTTTATCATTCGTTTCAGGATTACCATTATCAATCTTGTAACTTTGGTTATTTTTTGGTTACTAAGTTCCACATTATTGCAGTCTTATAGCGATTTTACTTGCTATGATATTCAGCTCTCAGTTTTTGATCGATTTACCAAACTTTATGGGACTGGCTTTTGCAAAAAATACATATATTACAGATCTTGCCTTTGTGAATCAGTCAAGGCTCAATGTTATTCACAAATAAAATATAGTTCTTATGACATAATTTGTGTAACTAATGTTTATTTTAAGGCGAGGATGATAATATTACTAACTTGTTAAAGAATTCATGTCACTTATCAATAAACATGACAAGGAAAGGAATTTTCATAATCAAAATCATTTGATGATTATGTTCTTCTCCTCTGAGGATTTATCTATCAAATCTTTAGATTTCTAAATCTATCAAATCCATTACCAGAATCCTGGTTTCTCATTGGGTTTTTAAAATTGTTGGACTTGTGTCATCAGTTCTTGGAAAGGCAAAAAAAAAAAAAAAAAATTTTGCACTTTTTTTCTTCTTAACCTCAGTATTACAATTACTTTCTTTTTTGGATTCCTGATGACTTTTTAGTTAACCATTCATATTCACCAGCTTTTATTGACTTTCCTCACTTGATAGATATGTTGACCCCAAAAGGTCAAGTGCTTGTTAAGATATGTTGTAGCAAGCAAAATGTTCATCTATTGACTTTTTTGTTTGCCATCCTTTTTAAAATTTGATTTGTTCAAGTAATCTTACATGGTGAGAAGTAGGAAAAATCTCTTTAGAAGATGAGTGAACATAATGATGACCTTCCAGATTGATGGAAGAGGTAGAAGACTTTGGTAAGAAAGATGGAACTTAAGAGGCAGGACAGAGTAATCAAGATGAGCGACAAGCTAGACTACACGACCTTAACAAAACAATATTTTCATTATTCAAAAAATTAACAATTTTATACTACAAGATTCAAGATTGAGCTCCTGTTTATAATGTGTTATACTTGAGCATTATATTGACAATATAAGAAATCTCTATTTAATAAAATTCTAACATGTCGGATCACATTGAAATTGTGTCTTGAACCTAATCACCTCTTCATAAAATGCACATGGCTGTCTTTTTGGATGTATAACATCTAACTAATTTAATCTAGCAAGAACAGCCTAGATCTAACAACCACTTATACAACATGAATATACTTTTGGATTTATAGAATCTAATTAATTTGGATCTGTACACTCCCAATAATTTTGATTTTAATTTTTTTGTTGCATACTTCTTCAACTGACGATAGAAATATTTTTTCTTGCTATTAGCTGAACACTTGGTTGATTTGATTAGTCTTGCTGGGAATGTTTCTTTTTTTTTCTCTCTCATATTAATTACTTGAGTTGCCAGCGTATTTTACTTTCATTTTGGATTTTTTTTTAAAGTTCTCAATGATGAGGAATGCATCCATATTCTCTTAAGGGGCCATGAACATGAGTAAGCATCAAATGTGTTGCACCATATTCAATAAAATATCATATTTTTATATTTTATTTTTCATCCTAATAAGAAATTTAGAGGGGCAGTTAAGAACTTTAGATTATGATAATATTATCAATTGAGTTCAAAGAGATTTACTGCAGCAAACTATAAATGAAAGTATCAAAATGCAAGTTTCTTTGGTGTTAAAAATAGAGGAATATGAAACAAGAGAAATTCTAGCAAACAAAAGTACACAAGACTGAAAGACAGAATGAATAGCGAATGAATTAGGAAGGAGATGAAGTTGATAAGAAGACGCCAGCTTTGAGATTGACTAGTTTGATTTGGAACAAAAAAATTTCAAAATAAAAAAATTGAATTTGTCTTTGAAATCAAAGCATGCTATGTGTCCTTATTTTTTGACAATTCAATATTGATATGCAAACTGAAATATTTGTTCAAACTGCAATCTACAACATTTTGTATGACATTTTAAAACATGCAATCTACAGCATGTGGCTCAACCAATCTTCCACTTATGTGAGGCTGTTGCAGGTCCCTCTAATCAAGATTTTTGTATATTATCATTTTATATCTGCACCATATATCTATTGATGGATGACTTTTGGTTCATATCTCATAAAATTTGTCATTTGCAGGGCGGATCTATTCTCAGAATCTCAGCGGATTAAATACACAATTGAACAACAAACACAAGGCATTCCTGATGCTAGGACATACTTGTTGACGTTACAAGAGATACGGATCAAGTATATACAACTTATGGCTTTATTATATATTTTTGTACTATATTTGGTAACTTGAATACTAGAAGTAATCTTTCTTCTTTGTTTATTTTTTTATAATAATACTCTGTAGTTCTTGCACTTTTGATCGGAAATGATGTACAACCATATATCTTATGCTTACATTATGCTTACTTTTTTAAGCATGGTAACAATTTTTTAAATGACTAGAGAGAAACTTATATTTTCCAAGTTTTGCTTATTGCAATTGGTATTTTTTTTCTTTAATGAATTGATTGTGATGTTGATTAATTAAGCTTAACATGCAAATCTAAATGCAATGAAATATTGATACTATATAATAACACATTAAGTTCTTATAAATGACTGAACTTGAAGATGCATTATAACTGCTATCTTGATTGTGTGCCATAGTTGTTGCATGTAACCGAAAAAGACTGTTTTGTGCAAGAATGAGGCATTGTTAGTGTTGACAGCTAGATAGGCATTTCTTGTAATGAAAGTGATGGTAATATGGGCAACTGTTGGTGCTAATCATATTTTGGAGCCATCTGTTAGCAATTGGAGAAGGGGCTTTGGCCCTGGCTTGGACCTGTTTGGGGGGAAGAGTTTAGCATCCCACTTCAACAATGTTAACAGTGGCTGGCATCCAGAACAGAAATTACTTGTTCTTGACCAACATTGAAGAAATGAATTCTGATTTCTCCGTTTGCTCCACCTCAGAGGATTATCAAATATTTAAGTGGGCCCAATATTTGTGTTAGCCTAAGGGAAGTAGAGAGCAATAACAGCAGTATGGTAAGTGTAACTGTTTTCATATCAATCTATTGTGACTAGCAATTGGGCGATAGTAGACGATAAATAAAACCTTCCAGGCCTTTTTGGGGCATCACCTGGGCATCATTGAGTTTTTGTTCCATCAATAATATTTATTTTTTTCTTTAATATGCTTCCTGGAACTTAGGGAAGCATCACGTAGGTGTAAAACATAAATTACAATTAGTAGGAAGCAGAGTCAAGAAGGCTAGGCATGCCTATCAAGAACTTCATTGATGTCAGGCAAGTAAATCATCAAGATCAAAGTAATACATATTAGGTCTCTCAAAATAAGTATTAGCCTAAACAATCAGTAAGTTAGTCAGAAGATGGTTGAATCATGGCATGAAGTATGTTTACTTTGTGTTTTGTTAGGATACTGCATTCTAATATGGGCCAGGTATCAATGAGGTGATGGGTTTTAGTTACTTTGAGAAAAATACTAGAGTTGCAACAAAAAATACAGTCTCCTTGTATGAGAAGAAAATGATGTTATTGCAGTTTAATGATTCAACTTTTATTTTTCTGACTCATGTATTACTGTCTCTGAAAAGTGAAGCAAAAAGAACTCTATTTAAGGATGCTCACAGTATGCTGAAAAAAGATCAAAATAACAAGGAATTGTGTTGGTCGTTGAAGGCTGATCATGGGCTTGTTAGTGGGAAAGTTATATGATCATAAGAAATGATGTTTGTCATTGAAGGATGATCATGGGCTTGTTAGTGGGAAAAGACATCCGATAAGATTTAGGATCTAACTATCCTATAAAGGTATGTTTAGGGAGATGATTTGTTGATGTAAGAAATCAAATTTTAAAGATAATCAAATACCCAAGATTCACATACAAAAATGAAAGTCCAAAATGAAAATTGCTAGAGAATTGTCCAAATGCTTGAATGCTGGTTGACCAAGGGAATCATTCCTTTTTCTCTCATCTCCTTTGTTCATTTGTTCCCAAAAGGGATGGAGGAAACTTCAACACTTCTTGCTTGTCTACTACTTCATTCTTGATCTGCTAGAGATTTGGTTGCTTTACTCTTGTGCCTGAGCAATGGATTCAATGATATCAAACAGTGTAAATGATCTCTCTACTTTTTGTTCATGCATCATATTTAATGCATTTCAACATATTGTAAATGATATTTTTATTTTTTGTTCATGAATCATATTAGTGCATTAGGAAATGATAGTGCTTATTGTTTTGTTCTCTAGGCACCTGCTTAGTTGGTTCATGTTGCTTGCATTGCCTTGGCAAACTTACTACCTATATGCCATGAAGAAGGCATGAAACACGTGTTGCATGGCGGGAACTGGGAATCCTGGATGGAAAAGGTCATCAAGTTCGGAATGTTAGTTCAAATTCCTGTTGGCATCTGGAGTACCTTTGGAAGCTTTTCCTCAAGCCTTAAAGTTAGAGTGATCAAAATATGAAAATTAAGAACTTTATAATATAAAAGAAAAATGAAATATGTTGATAATATGTTGGAACATCATTTTCATTTTGTTGTGATCTGTTACTACAGAACTTTGTAGCTTTAGGTCAGGCTGAAAGTTAATTGCATCTACTTTATGCTCAGTTACTGGACTTACGTAGGCTTGGGTTTTAGTTGTATTCATTAGCTGACTTTCTCTTTCAGGATCACCTAAAGAAAACATGTTACATCCTAACTAATATTTGTCATATAGAATATGGTTCATTGTTGATTATTCTTTGATTATCCAATCTAATTGTCTCTCTGTTTCTTGCTTGGAGAACTTACATTTGTATAATTATCACTTAATGTTTCTGAATTACATCTGACTATTTTATTGATGAGGATTGTACAATTTACTCCAGGAGTGGCCTTACAGATGATCTTGGTGCTGAGACAATGATGATGGAAGCTTTGGAGAAGGTCGAGAAAGAGATAAAAAAGCCACTGCTGAGGTCGGACAAGAAGAACATGGCTCTTCTGTTAGCCGAGTTTGACAAGATTAACCAGAAGTAGGTTGAGAGATTTCAATCCCTGTACTGTATCAGTCGATGCCATTTTATTTCTGCATGGGTGGTTTGTCTCTTATCTAATGAACTGTTGCTTGTCTATACTAGCCTCTCAAAGTTGTTCATAGTAGTTAAAAATTTAACTGATGTGCCCGCACTTATTCAAGAAGAGAGAGGTGGAGAAAATCCAGAAGAATCCATTTTTTCTCCCAGCGCTCTTTTAGTTTCTCTATAATCATGGAAACATTTGGATTGAAGTGGATAGATCCAGTCTTAAAATATTTCTTTTTCCTTATTCCCCTTGCAGGACAAATAAAATATTTAGAAAGAAGAACATGAAACAACTATAGATAAATTTTTTATCTACTTATTCGAGATTCTCGTCTTTATTTACCAAGACCAAAGAGAGAGAAGATTGTATTTCGTTTCTTCTCTTCTCCCATCTAAGCAGAGTGAGAGAAAGTTGGCTTCTCTTCTATCCTTCTCCTTTTGTAAGTCATTATCCAAATAAAGTCTGAGGATTTTGTCTTTATGCATCAGTTAAATTAGCAAAGATGTTACTTGCTATTCGACAATTGTGGATTTCTCTATGGATTTAACATGAATTTTATTTCTGCATGAGACCAATACCATCTTGTGTATTCTTAGAGTGCATAATCTCCCTGCTAACATGAATTTTATTTCTCTATGGATTTACTTTTTCTTTATGATGTTTAAATTTCATACTAGGCTGGGCATTCGAAAGGAAGATCTTCCTAAGTATGAAGAAGAGTTGGAACTTAAAATTGCTAAAGAGGATTTGCAGGGTCTGAAGAAGGATGTTTTGGAAGCAATGGAAACCCACCTTAAGAGGTCTGTATCATCTCCTTATTAGAGGTTAAACTGTTAAAGTTAAAAATGCTACTAGCATTTGAAGTGTCAAAGTAATTCATCTTACATGCTCATTCAATTTGTATATCAAAAGCCTCAGCTCAAATTATTCTTGAAAGTTGACGCTATTCTCATAGTTTAAACGACAAGTCTAACTCTTCTATGCATATCCAGTTATGTTTGCTTTAATTGTCAATCTGATGAACAATAGAGCTAGGGTCCAATGAGTACCTTTTGCTTTTTCTTAAAATAAAATATGGTGTATTCAGTATTCAATGAAATCATCTTAATTTTTTTTGGTAGCAAATCTCTTTTGGCTGGATTTCTTTTTTTAATTTATTTACTAACTGCTCATAATTTATATGTGCAGGGAGGAATTCAAGGACGAGAAGATGGTTAATGTGAAATCATTGGATATTAGGAATTTCATTTAAGGTTTTTCCAAAATTGTATTGCCAAATACTGGAAGGCTAGGCCTCTTTCTTTGTTTTTTCCATGCTTTCAAAGAATTTGAGCTGCTACACCAGCAATTTACATACAGTGCTCGTTATGAACGTCCTTGCACTTTGTCTGTTTGCCTAATAATAAGCAGTTGAATGTGCTACTTAGCAATGCCTTACTGAGCTGGACCATGGTCAGCTCAGATACATATTTGTAATTTTGGGTTCATAGTGGTGGCCGAATCACTCAATATATTTTTTTGATTTTTCTGGGTCTGTAAGCAATTTTCTTTTATCCATGGCAGGTGATCGAGCAATGTTGCCATAAAGTGAGACTTAAGTTCTGATACAATAACAGATCATTCATGCCATGCTTGTTCAGCTGGAATAAGGGCTTTAAAACACTTGTAAGATCCTCTTGTTTCGACATCTAATGACTGATTCCCACCTTTGGTGCCTCCATCCTGTCTACCTCGGACTGCCTTAAGGTGTGTGCTCATGATTTTAGTATAAAGTTGTTCTTCAGAATGCATTTATCCCTTTGCTTCTTGACCTTATAGTTTGTTTGTGTGGAAAACTAGGACGGATGTTTTAATCTGATGAACTTGTTTGACTTGTGATTATCTCTTAAACCTGTGTTTCTAATAAGCTCTAGCATATGCTTTAAAACATAAATAACCCTATGTTGGCTTTGCCCAGAAATAAAAGTGATGTGATCACTGATATTCATATTAGTAAAACTTTTTTTTTCTTAAATAAGTTAACATGTGTTAATTCAATTAGATAGGATAATTAATTAATTAGCTTGATAAGCTTGAATCATTTGTCCAGTATAATGTATCTCTCAGTATTGTAACATGACTGAGTTGATATGCTTGAACCACTACCTAAAGCTGTGGTCCTCCAAACTTTTAGTCTTCCTTTCACCCTCACTGTAGGATCCATTTCCTAGTCCTTGAATTTAACTTGGTTCACCCTCACTGATTACTGTGGACTTATTGTAGGAACCATCTTGAATGAAGTTCCTAATCAGTTTAAGATGGTTCACAGTAAAACACAGCCATCATGAACTATGAAGGTTAGTGTGATCAGTACCAATTTAAGCAATAAAGGAATTCTGATGAATCTTCAGCACCAAAATTGCTTCCAAATGTAAACAGAAATCAACTCAAAAGTTAGATCCCAACATGGGTTCTACTTTGGTAGTCTACATGGACTTGAAGAAGGTAGCAAATGGTGCCACTTTATGCACCTAAAACCATTCTCATGATTAATTTCTTTGGTGGAATATTCGAGCTACAAGTCCCATGTGAATATGTAGCATCCATGTGGCCAACATCTGATTAATGTATAGACTTGCCAGATTCCCACATGCAGCATTTGGTTCATATGTTGGCCATTTTATGCTCCATCTGGGACAAGATTTGAGCCTCCATCACATCATTAGAGCATGTTGTCCATCACCTCAGATGTGTTTCGGATGGCAATTAAAAATGTCGGGAAGCACATCTCTGGGATGAGGATACTATCTGTGCATCAAACACACTCACCATGTTTCTTTTATTATGATTATGATTATTATTACTGTTTCCTTTGCATGTTAAATGGTCCTAACTAAATATATGTTGAAATTAAACTATAATGGAAGAATCTCAACTTAATCTTCCCTCTTCTGTTTAAACATGTTTGAAAAATCATGCGTATCTTCAACTAGAGTGAGGCATGATTATTGATTGTTGCACACCATGATCTCCTATTTGATCTCCATACTACTTTTCTACTAGTTATCATAATATCCAATTTTCTACTACACATTTTTTACTTCAGAATAATTAACTCATTTTTATAGCCTTCAAAATGAGGATGCAATATGAACCATTTTTTAGGTTTAATAATTATTTTTGGAGTTTGTGGGATTCTTTTTAGTAGAACTAAAAAGACACAGATTTTTTATAAAATAAATTTATATAAGATGATATCAATTTTAAATAGCTTAACTGAATAGAGAGTCTTACATATTATATTTAACAATCACTATACACTAAATAATTTAAAATTTTATTTATACATATACGAATTATATAAATCTATTTTTCAGATTTTATCCAATTATTTATATCTGCCCAAAACCATAAAAGCATGAAATCACCACAAGGACAAGTGTCACATGAGCCACATGCATCTCAAATCTCCATGCCTTGTGCTTAGGACCTGCACCTGCGCCGTGTCCGTGGTGGTGCGTCAAACAATGATTTCCAACTCTTCACACACTGCGACAACCGAGTTGTCCACAGCTGCTGCTGCTGCCTGTACTCGTCCACAACAAGCCCAGAGAAAGCGCGAGGCCGGACACTGTCTCTCCAACCGAAGCCATCACTCCCTGCAGGGATTCCCCTCGGCCCCCTTCAGTGTCCGCAGTGCAGCGTAAACAAGCCCATGGCGGTGTTCTCTCTTCCTTGGCCTTCATGCCCGCCGTGTCGCAATGCTGTTCCACCTCACGGATCCCCATGCACGTCCGCTTGCCACAGGACGCTGTTGCAGAACGGGAACGGGAACGGGAACGGGAACGGGTTCACTTCGGGTCTCTCCCATCCAACTGACGTCAAGAGGGAAGAAAGTACGTATCACAGTATCGTTTTGATGTGTTCGACTGATGGGATATGAAACATACCCAACCATTCCAATGGAGACAAACTTTGCCTGGAAGTCATGGACAGAGGAGAAACCACCATGGAATTTTAGGTGGCACATGTGACGCCAAGGAAAAAGAAATGGCCGAGTTGAAGAGAGCAGCCACCGCTGCTGCCCTCTTTTACACTATATAAAACTCATCGGCCGCTTAAAGAAAGGACAGAGATCAACAATGGAGAGGGACCGTGTCGGGGAAGAGCAGTAAAGGTGGCAGCTGCAGGAAGACAGGTCACCCGCGGCTGGGTTCCCCAAAGGCACAGCACACTGTTCCCCCATAACTCCCTTCCTTGTCTCCTTGCAGCATCTGATAAATCTATATATATTTACGAGCTCAGGATATCCCAAGCTGCATGCATTCCATTTCCCCCTCAGCTAAGCCGCAGCAAACCGGGGATCGAGTTCAGTTGGAGATGGAGTTGGAGCTCGGCCTTGCACTCCCTGGCAGTGATCGGACACCGGAGCTGGGTGTCCACGGTGAGAAGAGGGCCAGCTTGTGCAGGAAGAGAGGCGTCGACGAGATGTTAGCCAAGGCTACTTTGCCTCTGTTCATCCAGAAGGACAACGACGAGGATGGCGATGACGATAGCAGGCAATCTAAGCATTTGCAGGATCTTAATTTGTAAGTTCCATGCACTCGTGTTGATGTTAGTTTCATCGATCAGAATTGTTCCTTCTAATGGGTTTGAAATGCGTGTGCAACAGTAGTGGAAGCAGAGTTCTGGTTGGGTGGCCGCCGGTGAAAATGTGGAGAAGGAAGAGCAATAACTGCAGCAGGAGGAGGGCGAATTGCGTGAAGGTGAACATGGAAGGGGTAGCCATAGGGAGGAAGGTGGATCTCTCCCTCCATGACTCTTATCAGGCCTTCTTCCTCACGCTAGGCCAGATGTTTCCCAAGAAACAACATGGTATACACCATATCTAAATCCTTTTGTCATGGAATTCCTTGACGACTACTGTTCTAGAAAGCTAAGATGAGAGAGCTGGCAATGTTGCAGATGGAGAGGAATCTGATGCTGCTTATTATAAGGTTACCTATGAGGATGAAGATGGAGACTGGATGCTGGTTGGAGATGTGCCATGGGAGTTAAGTGTGCTCAAACACCAACACAAGAAAGCTAAGTAGTGTGCCATTAAGTTGCAATTTTAGGAGTTCTGATCTGGTCTCCACTGATGCTTGTTACAGAGCTTTCATCCAGTCCGTGAGGCGTCTCAAGATACTCAACTGAGCAAGAGCACAGGAAGGCAGAGAGGCCATGTTTGTGCCGTTTCTCCATGGCTAGATCTTTTGTGCATGTTTTCTGCGGATGTAATCCTTAGTAAAGCAGTCTATTGTTCGTTTATGATGAACTCTATGATGTTGATATTGTATAAATAGGATGATGTTATGTTTATCCAAGCAGTCGAGGATTAGGTCATTCTGATTGCAAGATGAGCTGCTCCAAAACTTGGGCTTCTTTTCGAGAGCATTTCTCTGCAGTATGAACTCGAATTTGATCTAATGAACATGACCACAGATTTTTCCTGCCAATAATTGAGCAGAGCACCTTGAATTATACCTCCTCCTCCTCCTCCTCCTCTGTTTTCTCTTACGTTGCTGTGAAACTGTAAAAGGAGGCATTAACGCAGAAGAGGCTCCCTCACTTCCTGAAACAGAGCAGATGATCTACCAGTTGATCAAGCGCAGGAAGAAGTGGACAGCTGACATGAAGAAGGAGATAGGTCTTCAGAGTGCTTTTGTTATCAAAGCCCTTAGAATCTTGTAAAACGGATAAAGTAAATGCTTTATCTGTGATCATGGTTCATCAGAATTGCAATCTACAACAAGCAAGAAAAGATTTCAAAGTTTTAGTTCAGATTGAAACCTTTGATACAGACAAGAGTTCATGAAAATTTATAGGAAGATGTTCTTGAAGATACAGTGGGAAGCTGAAGAGCAGAGGAGGATACTCTCACTTGCAAAATCCAATTTACTTGTTGCAATACATATTTATACGATTTAATTCCCAAAAAATCATGGAACCAAAGATAAAGAATAAAAACAAGAGATTAAGCTGATTGAGGTAAGAAATGGGATCACATGAGAATTCTTATGGAAAAGATGGTATGACATGAACAATCTGTGATAATGCTCATTGTATGATGGTTGACAAACAATCCTGTAATCAAGCCTTTCATAAACAACAAAAAATATGTTGGAGAAGTCAGACATGATCTGCTTCTTTTCTGGCCTACCAAGACACTCCAAGAGACAATAACATGTGAACATCATCCCAAATTATTGTGGCATATCATCTTGCAATAAAAGTCATCTAATCCACTACATCAACCAAAGACTTCGATTGCAGGACCAGGAAATTAATCACCCCATGTACACAAACACACACACGTTCTATAGAGTCATGATGGTGTTCTGCTACATACTGCAGCAACTGAAACAAACATTACATGAGCAGAAAGAAACATTACATGCTACTAAGCCACTGGCAAATGGGACAGTGATTTCCCTTTCCTTCTCTGCCTTCTCAGTTGAGTATCTTGAGACGCTTTACGGACTGGATGAAAGCTCTGCAACAAGCATCAGAGGATGAAAGCTCTTCATGAAGAACAAAGCAATCTGGGTTCATGTTTTTGGGGGTCTTAACTTGCAGCAATAAGGAGGAAATTAATGGAGAGGGCAGGATACTTACTCCCATGGCACATCTCCAACCAGCATCCAGTCCCCATCCTCGTCTTCGTAAGTGACCTTGTAATAAGCAGCATCAGATTCCTCTCCGTCTGCAACATGGCCAGCTTGCTCGTCTTAGCTTTCTTGAGCGGTAGATGTCAAGGAATTCTATGACAAGAGGATTTAGATATGGAATATACCGTGTTGCTTCTTGGGAAACATCTGGCTTAGCGTGAGGAAGAGGGCCTGATAAGAGTCATGGAGGGAGAGATCCACCTTCCTCCCTATGGCTACGCCTTCCATGTTCACCTTCACGCAGTTCACCCGCCTCTTTCCGCCCTCCTCGCCCTTCCTTCGCGACACTCTCACCGGCGGCCACCCAACCAGAACTCTGCTTCCGCTGCAACATATTTTGCATGCAGTTCCGACACCATTAGCCAACAACTTTACGGAAGATTCTTGGCCAAAAGAACTAAACGAACTTACAGGTTAAGCTCCTGCAAATGGTTGAAGCGGCTGTCGTCGTCATCGCCATCATCATCGTCGCCGTCCTTGTGCACGAAGAGAGGCGGCGAAGTTGCCCCGTAGAACATATCATCGAAGCCTCTCTTCCTGCACGTGCCGGTTCTCTTCTCGCTGGCAAGACCCAGCTCCGCTATCAGGTCACCGCCGGGGAGTGCCAGGCCGAGCTCCAACTCCATCTCCGCCGCAACTCGGTGTCTTCTTCGCCTTGGCTGAGCTGATGGAGCACTGGAAAGGACCCAGCTGGGCTATGTTCAGCTCGTATATGTACATGCATCAGGATCTACAGGAGGGAGAGATTTATGAGGAGGGGGGGGAACAGTGTGCTGGGTTCGGAGGGGACCCAGCCGCGGTTATCATGTCTCCCTGCAGCTGCCAACTTTTGTGCTCTCTCCCGACACGGTCCCCTTCCATTGTTGATCCCTGTCCTTTCTTTAAGCGGTCGAGGAGTGCAGAAGAGGGCAGCAAGTGGTGGCTTCTCTCTTCTCCTCCGCCCATTTCTTTCTCCCTGGGGTCAAGATGGGCCAACCCACGAATCAATTCCGCCAGCTTAATTTTCCATGGTGGTTGCCGGTGTGTCCATGACTTCCTGGCCAAGCTGTCTCTTCCACTCTCTTCCGTCTCCTTTGGAATGGTTGGTATGCTTCGCATCCCATCAGCACAACCCATCAAACAGATACTGCAAGCAGATGTATCATCACAATGGAAAACTCGGAATGGACACCACAATGGAATTGACAATGTTGCTTTATGGCCGTCAGATACTGCTTGATTTCAGAATGGCAAGTGTGCTTTGTCTTGGATTGCGGTGTCGTCCATGTTGTGTCACTCAATACATGTGATGGAAATCACAAAGGTTACGTTTGCTTTTTGACCAAACACATCTACTTAGACTTGGATGCAAAATCTATCATTACTGCTCATTTTGGTGTGCTTACCAACTTGATCATGCATCCTTCGCTCAAATCACGGATCGGTTAGGTTGAGGAAACGTAAACCCTAACCCAACGAGACAGACATTTGAGGTTCTCAAATCCGACCACCCTAACTTATATTATTAGATTATCTAATCGAATCATGATTCCTAACATATGTAGCATAGTGAACTATAAGAACTCAATAATTAGCATGACATCGAAGATATCCCAATTTGGGATATACTATATCTATCTAAACTCTATAAACGTAGTTTCACGAGCTATTTACTAACTTAAGCATAAGAAGAGTCGTCTCGAACATGTGTTCGATATAGTTTTATCTTTACGTCATAAAATGAACGAGACACAAAGGAATAATCCGACAAGATAACATTCGAAAAATGAGCATCGAACTTTGTTATTATTTAAGAGTAAAGCTACAGATGCTAAAGCTATATAAGCATCAACATAATACGATAATGTTACTGCACAATCCCAAGATGCACTCTCCTTCCGAATTCATTTATATATAGATAGATATACGTATTCTCTTCGCTCAAAATATGCCAATGTGCAGCGTTTGCGACCACAATAACTAAACCGCCTGCTCTCCGCGCACGTAACAACGTGTATCGAATGACGCCCGGCTTGTCTCCTCCACGTACATGCACGCACCGGCGCCGTCCTCGGAGACCGCCGAGCCAGCAGGCAGCGATACGTACCAGCTGTCCTTTTGACGTCAGCCGGAGGGGGAGAGTCCCGGAGTGAGTCCATTCCGTCCGTGCATGGAGGTCGTAGAACAGCGTCCCATTGCAGTGGATGTGCATGGGGATTTGGGAGGCGGAACAGCGTTACGACACGGCCCGCGTGAGGTCGAGGATGAAACGACATGGCCGTGGGTTTGTTTAGCAGACAGCGTAGGGTCCCGAGGGGAATCCCAGGGAGTCATGGCTTCGGTTGGAGAGACAGAGGCCGCCCTCTCACTCTCTCCCTCTCTCTCTCTCTTTCGGTGGGCTTCTTGTGGACGACGACTGCCTGGTAACAGCTGCAGCTCTGGTGTCGACGTCTCGGTTGCCGTGCGTGACGAGTTGGCAACAATTGTTTGACGCACACCACACGGCATACTTCGTGCAGGCTGTAAGCACAGGGTTTGGAAGTTTGACAGCCTTCATGGCGATTTCATGTATGCATTTTGGTACTCAAAACATGCAGAAAGCCCTCAATGACTCCTCATAGAGTCAATTATGTGGGTACAAGAAACTTATTTTTTGGTAATCTCTTGACAATTCTTTGTATAATAATAAAATATAATTTTATTATTTATAATATCATAATTATCAATCATATCTTTATTCTAATAATATCTTATTATATTTATCAAAATCTTAATTACGTCAATCGATGTTGCTCGATGCCACTTCATCGTTTGATGTTGCCCAATATGTTGTTCGTTGCTTGACAAAGAGAAAAACACTACTCGACGAATAAGAAGATCATGTTTGTCGCTCGATATCACTTATCACTCATTGTTCGTCGCTTCGAATATAAGAAAGAAGAAAAAAAAATTTATGTTTATTTATAAATGGATATCTTTAAAAAATTAAAATAATTTTTTTAAATAATACAAATGGATTGCAAATAGAAATCTTCATGAATACAAATCATAAGAGATTTCTACGATGCTCCATGATGCTTTAACGTCCATCTGCCAACAGTTGTAATAATCTCATGGGAAATCACAAGGATTATAAATTATCATTGCTAATTCATATATATATATATATATATATATATATTAATTGAGATAATATCGATATTTCTTGATATAATATAATATGCGTGACAATATGGATACCATGATCCAAGATCACGTTATGTATCATTAAATAACCATCCCACGTTTTGGTTGAGCCACAAATAATTCCTCAGAAAGAAGAAAGGTTTGGACAAGTGGTGGAAGATATGATTGTGATTTGCACCCCCATAGTTTAATTTCCACACAATCTTTATTTTGGATTTCCTATCATGTTAAGAAAAGAAAGGTATCCCAAGAAGGATGTGATTGTTGTCGCATGTGGGGTTTAATCTTTAATCCAAGGAATAAATTTAATTTTGACAATACTTAACCCCAAATAGTTGGACTATAATTAACTTATTGTTTCAATAATTTAGGGTTCTTCGAGGATTATAAAATCTGAATTAAATCGAGCAGTTGGAATGAAAACCAAGAGCTTTTTAATTAGACTAAATGACTCCTAAAAAGACTAA